CCCACCCCGTAGCTCCGCGCAATGATGCTTAGCTATCGATGCTTTTTCGGCAGTATGATGAAGCTGAAGAGGGGGTGATGATTTGATTAGAGAACGAAATAGAAACTTATCCTGGCTTGCGAAAATGTAACAGAGAAATGTATTAAATAAATGAAGAGCAATTTGAGATAATTGCCAGCAACCAAAAAAAAAAAAAAAAAAAAAAAAAAAAAAAAAAGTGTGCAACTGTCAAAGAGAGAATGATGTCAGGTCCTGTTTCTTTCCTGGACCAGCCTCATCTCAACTGCCACTTTTACAAATGCATCGATCCCAACATACAGTGTTCAAACGCGCCAGCTCCCCAGTTGTTTCCCAAACCCTCATCTCATACGTATCTCATTCCATATGTACATATAGCAGGTATTTAACCCGAATTTGCGCTACATCATAAACGATATACTCGTTATACTGCAGCCAAGCATTCGTATCGTCCTGCAGCTTCGGCGGAGTCGAAACATCTGGCATAAGAACCCCACTCAGATCGCTGTGCACACAAGCCGCATCTTTCCAACCTTGCGGGATTGTCCGGCCTTTACCTAGCGTAGACAGGCTTCCTTGCTTCTTTGCATTCTCGCCAGCATGGTAATCGCTGTTGACAAGTTCTAGCATCGGACTTCCCAACTCGACGTCGCACAGCATCAAGACGCCAATGTCGCCACTGCTGGAGGAGCAACAGTAGTTGGCAGATTTGCTGGAAATGTCGGCAAAGTAGACACCTTTGCCGAACATGTAGCCCGTTACTGGGGCTTCGGGTGGTGCGATTCTCAGGCCTTGACTGAGAATGCCTCCGTAGTTAGTGCTGCGGGAACCGTGCCAGAGGAGACGGCGGTTGCTGTTTGATAGGTTTGCGAAGGGGGAGGTATCGAAACGTTGCTTTTCACCACGGCGTTCGACGCGGAAAATGTGTTTCAGCTAAGAATTTTGTTAGTTGGTTGATTTTTTTTTTTTTTATTTTTTCTTTGCTTCTCCAACTCTTGAGAATTTGGGTCCTTGAAGGATGTTTTACCTTGTAGTTGATATAGTGAGTTTGGCCATGAGACTTCACGAGGTAATCTTCTAATTCTTTGTATTCTATTGTAGCTGAGTCCACTGGATGATTAAATGAGTAGTTAGCAGTGTGGAGGTGAATATGAAGCAAGGAATGGCTGTCGAATACGTACATGGTGTCATCTCCTCTAGGCCAAGCCCTGCGAATTGAATATCAAGCGGATGGAGGCCAGTCTCGGACGTCTTGGCATCCTTCATGATCTCGTTGGTAATCGCCATGTCAGTCAAGGTTTCAAGAAGTTCGACTTCACGCTTAATCAGATCCAGAGAACCGATAACAGGAGGTCGACTACGTCCAAAAACATGAGGAATGAGAGTAAAGTATTGGTTACTCAGATGCTCCGCCGCGGCACCAAATGGACGACCATGTATTTGCACGGCTAATGCCGGGTTTGCAACCAACTGTGAAGTGCTCTTTAGAACCTCAAAGCCTCTACTGAGAGTCCGTTTGCTCAGCTTTCCCAATGGTAGTTTGTTTGCGTCATATGACATACTGGCCATGGTTGAAAGCATGTGCTGTTGGTTAAAAATGAGGCTAACAAATTCCTGGACGGGTTGCGACAATGTGCATTCTGGTATCTTCGCTTCTTCCGTGACTTCCTTCTTTGCTTTTTCGCTTCCTTTCTTTTCACTTTCATCCTCGTCGTCTGAATCATCCTCATAATTCCTCTCAATATAGGTATATTTTCCAGCTTTGGATGCTAAAAGTCGATCACTCCAAGAACAGCCAGTTTTGCTTTTGAATTTTTTGTCAAACAAATCTTTCGCTTGGTCCAGCGTCAGTCCAGGGAAAGAAGCACATTGCCCATTTTCACCAACTCGACCCCATCGCGTCCATGTGGTATATTTCCCTGAGGATTTGTTCTCTAGCAGCTGAATGAGATAAAATTTGTTGTGATTGTAACTGGCATTGGTCTGGTTCAACGCCGCGTCATAGATGAGTCCATGTTTGCCAATAAATACCCTATGAGTCGCTAAGCAAAACGTTAGACTGCTACTTTCATGAGTATGGGCTTACTTCCCTGATTAGAACGGTACTTACCGGCGAAGCTGAATTTTTCATCAACTGGCACCTTTAATGTTGGAGAAGACGCCTTCTGGGCATCCTTTTGCTTTTTCGCCGGGGGCTCACCCTGCGACTTGGACGTGGTAGTATTTTCGTCATCGTCTGCCGCGATAGGGCGTTTGGTCTTTGACTTGGCCGCCTGTTTTTTGCCTTTAAAGTTATTTGAATTTGTGGCAGGTTTGTCGTTATCATCATCCAGGCTGGCATTGGCAGTGGTATCATTGGATTGCTGCTTGGTTCTGGATGACCTTACAGGCCTACCATTTGTGGCTGGTGCGGGCGCTGAGGTTACTGCCAAGAGATAAGAACTTTCTGAGGCTGGTTTGCCGTCTGCTGCTGAATCCAGAAGCCAGTTCCAGGAGACAATTTTTAAACCACTGATCGAGGCAGCTTGTCTACCTGATATACTGTTAGCAGCATTCCATGTACACACAAAATGCAGTACATGGGCCTTCGGCCAACTTCAACATCATCGAGAATCCTTTCAACTCCAATAGATAAATAAATCAAGAGATACAACGAGAATTGGAGAGATAGAAAGCAAAAGGAAGGGAATTTCTCACACTTGGGCTTATTGTCATCAACGTCTTTTTGGGTAGTAACAAGATGTGTACATGTGTCGACAATTTTTGCACTGTAGGTGCCACCGCCAGACTCGATCTTGTCTATCAGAACGGCTAAACATCGGCTGGGTTAGCATCTTCGAATGCAAAGGCCAAATGATGATCCGTCCCGGTTTCTTTATTTCTGAAGCGGTTCCTTTTCAGTTGCTCCATTTTCAAGCAACACACACCTTGTTTATGCATGGGAAATGTGCCACTAAGGGCGATGACGTGGTTTTTGAAAATAGACGCCATTTCAGCAATTAGAGGAACAAGCTGAGCAGCAATTGACACCAAAGTCAAACAATGGCGAAGGAGAATTTTTGGTTGATAAAAGTAAAAGAATGATATTTCCTCCTCCAGGGCCGTCCGAGGGCCCTTTTAAACCCAAGCTCCCAGGACCCGCCAAATTCTTTATGGTCTTTCGCTGGCTGACAACTTGGAACCCAGGCGGCAGCGGCGCAGTGATTGGCTCCAGCAAACGAAGCCCCTGAGCTAATCGGCCATGGTCGCTTCAAACTCCACGGCGGGAGAGATCTCGGTTCAAAGGCACCTGCGCATCAACTGGCTCCATCCAGGCAGAAAGGGCGCTTCCACAGTGTCGGTTCCGGCGGAGGGGTGCCACAACGTGCTTCTCATTGCTCAACGATGCGAATTTGGCCGTGGTCAAGATGTAGGCAACAAGGCTCTGGGTTTGGCTGGGCCCCACGTGATCGCCAGATCAGCATGAAGCCACGTGATCCCGCTCC